AGACGAGCAATCGCGAAATATTCAATAGAGTAAACACGAAGCCTGATTAAGAAGTAGAACAAGTGAAAAAAAAAAAAGAAAAAGGAAAAAAAAAAAGAAAAAAATAAACGAAACACAAAGATGATGAGAGACAAGGGGGGAAGTACGCAAATATTGTAAAGCATTTGGTAAACAGACAAATTGATGAAAAATCAGCTTCTCTCTTTTTAGTACCGATGTATTGTCGCTAGATGTATTACAGAGACGTAAGAAGTATTCTTCGGCAGTACCATTATAACAAATGCCTGTGTATTTTACTTCTCGGCAAATAAACCATCAAGTATTGTACGACTGTGTTTTCTTTATCTTCGATCCTCTTCTTCTATTAACATTTTTATTACCAGCTATCATTTTTTCTTTTTTCTATTTTTTTTCCACTATTTCCTACTTGTATTTACATTTTTCTTTACAATCGTTCGATAGCAATGTATATTAAGTTTAATCGTTGCTACGTTTAAGCGTTTTACAAAGAGAGCCACCTGCGTTGGATGGATTTGAACAGGGAGAGCCAGGCAATCGACTCGAACGGCAACGGCGATCTCTTCTTGATCGATCGCCGCGCTACGAGAACGGGCCGTAAGCTTTCCTTCGAATCGAACTAGAAAACCTTCGAGTATTCTCGTAAGCCTCGATCAGAGATTCGGAAGAAGAGGTTGCGCTTTGTTGAACAGGACGATTGCATATGCTGCATTGTCGTTGTCTTTGCGGTATCGGCTTTAATCGCAGATTTGATGGAGATGGTGGTGGAGGAAGAGCAGGAAAAGGTGGGGGTGGAAGAGGAGGAGGAAGAGGGGGAGCGGGAGGGGGAAGAGGAGGAGGGGGAGAAGGTGGAGGGGGAGAAAGAGGAGAAGGAAGAGGAGGGGGAGGAGGCGAGAAAGGACGTGAAAGGGGCGAAACAGTCGATGATTTTGGATACGTTTGTAAATAAGGTCTTTTGTGAGCTTCGAAGTCGGCCAGTAAACGATAAGAAGGTGGAATGTTGTATCGTATCCTTGCCAAAACATGGCTTCGTTTCATATCTGGATTGTTTTCAATTTTCGGATTATTGTACGCTTTTTTCAATTCTTTTTGGGCTTGAATGGTTTCTCTTCTAGCCAGAGTGTGCTGAAGAGTGCCACGAAATCTGTCATAAACGTCGGTCGTGCTTAACTTTACACGATTATTTTTTTTCAGATAATTAATTTTTGAATTTTTTTTCAAAATGTCGGCTCCTCCGCTTTCTCTGTGCTGCGTACTCTTATCGATGCGTTCCCAAATTTTACCAAATTTTTCTAATACCTTTACGCGTCTACCAGAGTTTGGAATTCTGACTATGCTTTCTTGTAACGGGAAATCGAGTTTTCCTAATTCCAATGACTTCGAAGACACGACCTTAGCGATTTGTCCACTTTTATTTTCCACGATCTTAACGATTTGTTCACTTTTATCATTTACGACCTTAGCGATTTCTTCTTCATTCTCATTTTTCACGATCTTAGCGATTTGTTTGCTTTCGTTTCCTACGATCTCGATGATTTGTTCACTTTCATCCTCTACGATCTTAGTGATTTGCTCGCTTACATTTTCTACGACGTTGATGGTTTGTTTACTTTCATTTTCCACGTCAAGGATAGGTATAAACGGAGATAATGGCGGCGGCGGCGGTGGAGGCGGCAAATTTAACGTCGAGGAATCATCCGACAATAAAGAAAAAATTGAGAGATGATTTTTCAGCATAACAATCTCAGATCTAGTCGTTTTGGAAAGAAGTTTTCTCTCTTCGTCCGGTTTCTCCTCTTCGTCTTTATCTATATCTTCCAACTGATGATGATGAGTAATTTTTTTCTTACTTCGAAAATTCTTCGAGGATAAAGTAGATTTAATAACAGGCACGCTTTTTGATTTAACCGAGGAGATTTTCGAACGAATTTTCGTTAAAACTTTCATACTACTCTTTCTATTTTTTGGACGCTGCATACTTATTTCTTCCTCGTCCGAACTTTTAGAGAACGTAGTGGAAATCTTACTTCTCGATCGTTTTCTTTGCAACCGTAGTTTGCTTTTTACCCCGCTTTCAGGAAAATCTTCCGGCTTAAAGAATATCCAGACGTAGTAACGAGTCTTTTGAGGTCCTATGTACATTTCGTTGCTATGAGCAGTTTGCAATAATCGTGAGAAAATCGATAAAATTATCTGAAAGATAAAAAATAAAAAAGTGTATATATAAAATACTTCAAGCTACGTTTCTT